TGTTTCGGGCCTAGACCCTTCATCAGAAAAGGGGGAGGGGAAGGGGGTTTTGAAATAAATAGGGAGAGAGTGGGAGGCGGATAGAAGAGGGATAGAGGAGAGGATAGGTGGAGAGGAAACAAACAGGTCGAAGAGGCGGGGATGGGGCCAGGAAAGGTGAGTGTAGGTAGGGAGTTAGGAAGGGGATAGGTCAGTCCAGGGAGGACGGACAGGTCAAGGGGGCGGGATGAGGTTGGTCGGTAGGAGATGGAGGTGCGGCTTGAGGTGGGAGGAGGGGATAGGTGGGAGGAAGAACAGGTTAGGGAGGCAGGGACGAGCTGGACTGGTTTTGGGATGCGGTAGGGGGAGGGGAGATTTTGAAACTTGTGAAATCCACATTGATACCATTGGGCTGCAGGGTTCCCAAGCGGAATATGAGTTGCTGTTCCTGCAACCTTCGGGTGGCATCGTTGTGGCACTGCAGGAGGCCCAGGATGGACATGTCGTCTGAGGAATGGGAGGGGGAGTTGAAATGGTTCGCGACTGGGAGGTGCAGTTGTTTGTTGCGAACCGAGCGTAGGTGTTCTGCAAAGCGGTCCCCGAGTCTCCGCTTGGTTTCCCCGATGTAGAGGAAGCCACACCGGGTACAGCGGATGCAGTATACCACATTGGCAGATGTGCAGGTGAACATCTGCTTGATGTGGAAAGTCTTCTTGGGGCCTGGGATGGGGTGAGGGAGGAGGTATGGGGGCAGGTGTAGCACTTCCTGCGGTTGCAGGGAAAAGTGCCGGGTGTGGTGGAGCTGGAGGGGAGTGTGGAGCGGACAAGGGAGTCACAGAGAGAGTTGTCCCTCCGGAAAGCAGATAAGGGTGGGGAGGGAAAGAGGTCTTTGGTGGTGGGGTCGGATTGCAGATGGCGGAAGTGTCGGAGGATGATGCGTTGGATCCGGAGGTTGGTGGGGTGGTACGTGAGGACGAGGGGGATTCTTTTTTGGTTTTTATTGCGTGGACGGGGTGTGAGGGATGAGGTGCGGGAGATGTGGGAGACACGGTTGAGGGCATTCTCGACCACCGAGGAGGGGAAGTTACGGTCCTTGAAAAACGAGGACAACTGAGATGTACGGGAGTGGAATGCCTCATCCTGGGAGCAGATGCGGTGGAGGCGAAGGAATTGGGAATAGGGGATAGCATTTTTGCAGGAAGGTGGGTGGGAGGAGGAGTATTCGAGGTAGCTGTGGGAGTCGGTGGGCTTGAAATGAATATCGGTTTCTAGGTGGTTGCCCGATATGGAGACAGAGAGGTCCAGGAAGGGGAGAGAGGGGTATCGGAGATGGTCCAGGTAAACTTAAGGTTGGGGTGGAAGGTGTTAGTGAAGTGTATGAACTGTTCGAGCTCCTCGTGGGAGCACGAGGCGGCGCCGATACAGTCATCAATGTAACGGAGGAAGAGGTGGGGTTTAGGGCCGGTGTAGGTACGGAAGAGGGATTGTTCCACGTAACCTACAAAGAGGCAGGCGTAGCTTGGGCCCATGCGGGTACCCATGGCTACCCCCTTTGTCTGTAGGAAGTGGGAGGAATTGAAAGAGAAGTTGTTGAGTGTGAGGACGAGTTCGGCTAAGCGGATGAGGGTGTCAGTGGAGGGGGACTGGTCGGGCCAGCTAGAAAGCCGGATTAGAACGACCCTGAAGAAACTACACAACTCAGGAGACATCAGCAAGACAGACTTCCAAAAAAAAAATGAAGCCAGAGGGATCCAACCCACCCTGATTCTATGGACTCCCCAAGGTACAGAAACAAGGGGACCCTTCAGACCCACTGTCTCACTGCCAGGTACACCAATATATAGACTTGCCAAGGAACTACAACAGAAATTAAAATACTTAGTGGACAACACTACCCACTCCATCCACTCATCCCAACAATTCCTCAGCATCAAAGACACTAGCAAAGATGAGATCGAAAATGATGATATCCTTCAACGTGGAGGTTGTTTAGGGAGCACGTGCTACGAGTACTCGAAAGGTGTGTCCCACTGAGGCAAGGAAAAGATGGTAAGATGAAGGAACCTTGGATGACAAGGCGTGTGGAACATCTAGTCAAAAGGAAGAAGGAAGCTTACTTAAGGTTGAGGAAGCAAGGATCAGACAAGGCTCTAGAGTGTTACACGGTAGCCAGGAAGGAACTGAAGAATGGACTTAGGAGAGCTAGAAGGGGGCATGAGAAAGCCTTGGTGGGTTGGATTAAGGAAAACTCCAAGGTGTTCTATACTTATGTGACGAACAAGAGGATGGCCAAAGTGAGGGTAGGGCCAATCAGGGACAGTGGATTGAAATTGTGCCTGGGGTCGGAGGTGGTGGGGGAGGTCCTTAATGAATAATTTGCTTCAGTATTCGCCAGTGAGAGGGACCTTGTAGTCTGTGAGGACAACATGAAACAGGCTGATATGCTCGAATAGGTTAATGCTTGGAAGGAGGATGTGCTAGAAATTTTGAAAAACATGAGGATAGATAAATCCCCTGGGCCGGACGGGATATACCCAAGG